TGTAGAATATTAAAAAACACATTTTTACTCTTAAATAATATAATTTTAAAACGAAATTAGAAGAAACTAAATAGCAGGTGACGCCACAGGAGTTGATCCAAGCGACAATGTTGTTGCTTTAGGTAATTTGATGGACCCAATTTAGTTATAAATTGTTATTATTTCAGAGTAAAAATATATTTTTTTTCATGTTGTACATTCAGCACCAACATTATAGTGAGTAAATATATCATAGTTCTTCATTACTTATGTAATGCTAGGAAGCGTTGGGTAGCTTTGAGTAGATTTGGGTAGCTTTGGGTAATTAGATGGACCCGTTTTAAATACAATACAATACAATACAATTTTATTTAGGTAAGGTACATACATACAATAAATATTTACAAGGATTGTTTAACTTATAGGTATAGCTAGTACATACAATGCCTAAAGCCACTATTACGCAAAGCGTTTCGGGCATATTCTCTGAATATGTTAGACATTAAGTCACTGCACATTCTCTCATGTGTATTATACATATATAAAACGCTAAACTATAATGCCAATCCTGATCTCAAAAGCTTCATAGAAGGTTGTATCAGAACCCATGAGCATCACACCAGAAATAAATACAGTTTTGATATTCCTAGAGTACGACTTAATCAAACTAGAAATGCTCTACAAATCAAGGGGCCCAGAATGTGGAATGACCTTCCCAACCATGTTAAAGACTGTACCTCTCTCAACCAGTTTAAGTTAAAAGCGAAGCTATACCTAATAAATTCCCTGTAACCTACCTTACCCTTCTTTTGTCAACCAATGTCTGTTTTTTTCTTTAAAGAGTGCTGTTTGTCGACATAATTGTATTTGTGCTGCTTTTTCATCTATGTTTTCATTTCTTGTTTTCATTCTACTCATTATGTTCAATTAGTATTAAGCTTGTCATTTAAGTTTATCATGCCCGAAACGCTTTGCGTAATAGAGGCTTTAGGCATTGTATGTACTAGCTATACCTATAAGTTAAACAATCCTTGTAAATATTTATTGTATGTATGTACCTTACCTAAATAAAATTGTATTGTATTGTATTGTATTGTATTGTATTGTATTGATAAACTTAAATGACAAGCTTAATACTAATTGAGCATAATGAGTAGAATGAAAACAAGAAATGAAAACATAGATGAAAAAGCAGCACAAATACAATTATGTCGACAAACAGCGCTCTTTAAAGAAAAAAACAGACATTGGTTGACAATAGAAGGGTAAGGTAGGTTACAGGGAATTTATTAGGTATAGCTTCGCTTTTAACTTAAACTGGTTGAGAGAGGTACAGTCTTTAACATGGTTGGGAAGGTCATTCCACATTCTGGGCCCCTTGATTTGTAGAGCATTTCTAGTTTGATTAAGTCGTACTCTAGGAATATCAAAACTGTATTTATTTCTGGTGTGATGCTCATGGGTTCTGATACAACCTTCTATGAAGCTTTTGAGATCAGGATTGGCATTATAGTTTAGCGTTTTATATATGTATAATACACATGAGAGAATGTGCAGTGACTTAATGTCTAACATATTCAGAGATTTAAGTAGGGGTACCGAGTGGTGTCTGGGGCCAGAATTGGATATTGTCCTAATAGCAGCTTTGTGTTGAGTAATTAGAGGACGTAAGTGATTTTGGGTAGTAGAGCCCCAAGCACAAATACCATAGTTGAGATATGGATAGATAAGGGAGTAATAGAGAGTCACCAGGGCAGGGTGTGGTACATAATATCTGATCTTAGAAAGAATGCCCACAGTTTTTGAAACTTTTTTTGATATGTTTAGAATGTGTCCCTGGAAATTAAGCTTGTGGTCAATGAGAATGCCAAGGAATTTGCCATCTAATTTGTTACAAATTTGGGTATTGTTTATTTTGAGATTTATTTGATTAGAGGATTTATTGCCAAACAGAATATAAAAGGTTTTGTTTAAAATAAGGTCATACGTATTCCCCGAGGAGCTGCTCTATTTGGAGATGGAGGAGAAAAATTAGGAAAGGTGGTGTTGTTGCCATGCTGGTGAAAGAACACTTAAAGATAACCAAAATAATTCTTAAATGCAAATCATGCTCTGAAACTCTCCCTGGACAGATGTAATAGGACCCATTATCACCACACCAGAAATATTTATCTCTTTGATATCCCCAGAGTCAAACTTAATCTGTGTAAACACACTATGCAAATAAAGGGACCCAGTCTATGGAACTCACTCCCTATTGAATTGAAAAGCTGTCCAACTTTTGTGTCATTCAAAAAAAATACTAAAAAGTACCTAATTTCATCTTCATAGTTTTTTACCTTTTGCTTTAAAATTGCACTGTATCTATTGCTACCCAATCTCCCAATCTTTATGTACCCAATCTGAATATCTTTATCATTGTGATCATTGCTGTCTTCTTATATGTGCTGTCAATCTGCTGTATGGTGTCTATTAATCTTGTTTAAATTACCAATCAAGCTGTCAATGTAATCAATCAGAGCTTTAATATACCAATGTGCTTTAATATACTTACTAATCTCTCTCATCTCATTTTTTTTTCTTGCAATGTATTTGTTATCATTTTATTAACTCTGATAGAATTTACCTACTTAAAATTATCTGTTAGATTAAGGACCTGCCTGAAACGCTGCACGTACTAGTGGCTTTACAAGATTGTAAATACTATGCTATGTATTCTCACAAACCCAATGTACCTTCTTGTATATAAATAAATAAAATTAAATAAAAATAAAATAAAATAAAATAAAAATAAAATAAAATAAAATAAAATAAAAATAAAATAAAATAAAATAAAATAAAAAATGATTGCCAATCCACGAGAATTTGACATAATAACACAGGAGATTTGTTATCAGGATGGTAAACTGATAATCATAAATGCATACAGTCCACCCCCCATGCAACACATGGACAAAGACAGATCTAGACAACAAATGAGATGGCCTCAAAATTATTATGAAAGAGATTACATTAAGGAGCAGATAAAGATGGATCACTACTGCTGGTACTCGGTGACTTCAAATTTAAATCCATACACTGGGAGGCCTATGAAGCAAGAACAGAGGACTTTTGGACCTGTAGATCTGTAAACCTCATCCTGGAGACATTCATGTATAAACACATTAAACAAGCTACAAGAATAAGGGAAGGCAATGTTCCTTCAAATCTGGATTTGATTCACCAGGAAAAAATTAATATTTGATATTCAGTACAGTACCTCCTTCCCTTGGGTAAAAGTGACACTGTGACAATGTCTTTTGGGGAATAAAGTATGCAATGTGTTATAATCTATAAGAGAATGAGGAAAATGAAGTGGTAGAAAAAATGATTTCAGGAGAGGACACTATGGGAACCTAGAAAGTTCTTTAATGAATTTGATTGTAAAGACTTGCTGTTAAGTAAGAAAATAAATGAGAGCTATGTCAAGTTTTGTGAAATATGTGATAAAGACACAACAAGTTTTATATCAAAACAGAGATGTAGAACAGGGAAACAGGATTGGTTCAACAGAAATTGTGAGAGGGCCAGAGACCAAAAGACACAAAAATTGAATTAATATAGGAAGACGTCAAACCCTAAAAAATACCAGCGATACAAAGAAGCAAAAAACTACTACACGGCAGTGAGAAGAGAGGCAGAAAGAAATTTTGAGAAAGGAATAATGGACAAATGTAGAACAGAACCAGGCCTATTCTATATATGCTCAACAAGCACCCAGAGAAGGGTCACCCTGAGTGCATGCAGTTTAGTTAATTTAGTTCATTTATTATGCATCCTACACCCATCTTGTATGCAGTTAAAAGTACAAAGCTAGCAAAGTCCACTCGTGAATAGCATGAAGGAAACACACACACACACACACACACACACATAAGAGCTACGAGGAGAGGTTAGAGGCATTAAAAATGCCAAAACTAGAAGACAGAAGAAAAAGAGGTGATATGATCACTACATACAAGATAGTAACAGGAATTGATAAAATTGATAGGGAAGATTTCCTGAGACCTAGAACTTTAAGAACAAGAGGTCATAGATTTAAACTAGCTAAACACAGATGCCGAAGAAATATAAGAAAATTCACTTTCGCAAACAGAGTGGTAGACGGTTGGAACAAGTTAGGTGAGAAGGTGGTGGAGGCCAAGACCGTCAGTAGTTTCAAAGCATTATATGACAAAGAGTGCTGGGAAGACGGGACACCACGAGCGTAGCTCTCATCCTGTAACTACACTTAGGTAATTACATGAAGCAAATACAAAAAATACAAAAAATTAAAAATGAGCAAAAGGTCCCAACAGGACTAGATCTTAAAAGGGGCCAGTGCTTAGCTAAGAAGCAATGGAAGTCACTGTACCTTGGCAACCTGAGGAATGCAAGTAAGTCAACCTCAGTGGCAGGACTGACCTTGGAATGGGTTGTTGGCCAGGGGATCTCCAGGCCAACTGGTTATGGCCATTGGTACTAACGAGTTCAAGCTAGTTTCAACTGAACCACTTATTCTGAATGAATTGTTTGCAGAGCCATTTAGCTGTTTTGATGCGTCATTTCCTGTGAACTTTGCAGTTATCTGTAAAGTTTTGCTGACATTTTGGATGCTTATCCAGTGATGGTGATGATAATTGTCCCCTTATCTTTGCACCTTTATGAGGATGGGGTCAGAGTCTGGCTCTGGTCTCCCAGGGAAACAGAGCTCCCACAACAGGTGTGACCCAGTAGCTGAGAGCCATCTCAGCAAGATAGCTTCAGGGAGCCACCAAGTGGGCTCTCACAGAAAATCCCAATTTGTTTATTGTGTATTGCATTGAATTTGTTTATATTTATTAAACCCAAAAGTTCTAATCTTATTATTCTCATTTCTAAAACCTTAATTTGAGTACATCCTAGAACTGGAACCCATAATCTGTTCAGCAATGGGCAAAAACACCCCCTAGTCTTTAAATACCTAAGCTCTTAACTAAATCACAGTTGTTTACCTATTTCAGAGGATCAGGACACATTACCTGTACCCACCCTCCAAGCAGCCCTACAGCCTGGCAAGCACCAATGATGATCCCTCCATGGGCCAGTCCATAGAGATACGCCATATACTTGGTAACCAGGTGAGTTTAATCTGCTTAATCTTGTCCGTGTATATATATGCCTCTACTGCCTGATCTTGTAGCATGAGTACCTCTTCCTATCTTCCTACCTGACTTGCTAGAAAATTAACAAGAATGTAAAAACGCTTGTATAAAAAAAATGTAAAATCAATCAGGATTCATCTTTATCTGGTCTTATTATAATCTCTCTCATGACCATTGTAAGGCCTCTCATTGGTCGTCTAGCTCTTCCTTTGTCCACGTGTTGCCTACTTCCCTTCCCTTCTGTAAGTGAAATCAATCATTCGTGTGTAATCAAATCATGTACATTACATAACATAAGTAGGTAACCTTTCACTGTAGAAAGAGTTATCATTGATGCTACCATTTTCTAGTGTTATATTTAGGAATGTACAAATATGGTGATTGTGAGCTGCAGTTAAACCTACAGATACAGGAATATATACTCTCTTAAAATAATTATAAAAAAATATTAATTTATTTACTCTTTTAAGTAACAAAATGCTTTATTGTATAGAAGGAACTCTTCAACTTGTCTTTGTTCCTTCCCTGCAGAAGAATGGATTCTTTGTGGAGTGTGGAGCCCTTGACGGAGAGACACGCTCCAACACGCTCGTCTTTGAGAAAAAGTTTGGCTGGCAAGGCGTTCTCATTGAAGGAGATCCCAAAAACTTTGACTTGGTGTTAAAGAAGAATCGAAAGGCTTGGGCTGTCAGTGCATGTCTCAGTACACACCCGTATCCGAACACTGTGAGTTATGTATACACTATCTGTATATCTGTATACTGTACTTGTTATAAAATATTTATATTTTATTATAATGTACAATACATGCTTCAGGAAAAAATACCTGCTTCCCTTATGTTTGTGTGATGATATGCAGCAGTCATGACAACTCTCAGCATGACTGGTTGTTGCTGCCAGAGACACCTAGTTTACTATGCACTTCATGCTTATTCTGTGAGTGGGTGAGTGTTGCTAGTTTACTGTGCATCTTGTGTTCACTCTGTGAGTGAGCAAAATTCAGCTAGTTTTCTGTACATCTCCTGCTCACCCTGTGAGTGGGTGAGTGAAGCTAGTTTACTGTGTACCTCATACTCACCCTGTGAGTGGGTGAGTGCAGCTAGTTTACTGTGTACCTCATACTCACCCCTGTGAGTGGGTGAGTGCAGCTAGTTTACTGCGCACCTCATACTCACCCTGTGAGTGGGTGAGTACAGCTAGTTTACTGTGTACCTCATGAATTGCATAATCTAAATGGGGCTTAACAAAAGGAATAACATTAGACAGAGTGTTGCTAGTGCGTCTAGAAATAAATCCCATTAAACTACTTATTTGCTTTATTCCATATATTTATGCACTGATTTTTGGCTTAAGATCCCGAACCAATTATAACTCTCAAATTGTTATGCATTCTAATTTTGCAATTTTGACATACAATTTACTTAATTACCCAATGAATCCATTTTAGGTGATGTTCAAGCAAAGCTTCAACATTGGTAAGATTAGCAGCTTGAAAACAGGACAAGAGCAGCAAGGCTACACAGAGGTGCAGTGCCTTCCCCTCTACTCCATCTTACTGGCCCTCAACACAACCACTATCGACTATTTCAGCCTAGATGTAGAAGGCTCAGAGCTTGCAGTACTCCGTACTATTCCTTGGGACAAAGTCAATATTAGGGTAAGCATATAATTTGAAGAAGTAATTTTTTCTGCATTGCTAAATTCATTAAACTCAATTCAAAGTATAAATTTATATTTTTACTTCCATATTTTCTACTTATTTTTCTGTATCTTTATATAGTCTTAACTCTTGTGTTTTTAAGGGCTATTTGGCCTTTGTCACCACAGGCACATAACAAAAAAACAAAACAAAAATTGTTTTTTCTTCTTAGCCTATTAATTTGTGTTCCCTGATCATGGGAAAGATAATAAAAAAATCGCAAGTGGCATACTTTGGCCGCAATAGGTCGGGGAAGTCTGGCAAAAAAAAGAGGCGCTGTATCAAACACTGACTCATCAAGCATTTGCTTTGCCGAAGCTGTCAGGCGGGGTGTTGCCACAAAGATAAAATTACCTAATTATTTCAATGTCTCTGATTAATTTTTTCTTTGTTTTTTTGCTTTAATATTATTCAATAGTGTGTAGTGTGATATATTTAGATAATAAAATGTGTGAATCATCGCTGAACTAAAAATTATGGTGTGCATATTATTGATTCAATTATTATATTCATAAAACAGTAAACAAGTACAATGGGGCCTCGACTTACGATGGTAATCCATTCCTAGAGATGGATCGTAAGTCGAAATATCCAAAGTCGAAGGGATTTTTCCTATAAGAAATAAAGGGAATTGAATTAATCCGTTCCCCACCCTCCAAAATATTAACTTACAAATACATTTTATACTGAATACAATTTTGTTCTCTAACTACAATACAGTACAAATGTTTATCTTACCTTTATGGAGGACTCTTGATGGTGTATGGAAGATGGTGAGGAGGGGGAAGGAGAGGTGTCACTGTTTGGAAGGGGAGTCCCCTTCCATTATAACATCAGGCAGTGATGACTTTTCTGGGATACACTCTCTGGCATGTTTTGCCTGCAAACCACTAGGACCTGCTTGTGGCTCACTGCTTGCTTGTCTTACTAAGAATCTGTCTAAAAACACTTGTTTTTCCCTACATTTTAACACTTCTCTGCAATAATACATTACATTGTCATTTAAAAGGTCAATGCAACAGCCTGCTACAGCTTTATCTGGGTGAGTTTTTTCAACAAAACTTTGCAGTTGTTTCCATACTTCACACATTTTCTTAATGAGGAAGGGATATCCTCTACTGCCTCAACTCACAACTATTTTCTTAGGTTGAACCTTACCGCTGACTTTTTGGGACCCATGGCATGATATATAATAATCAGTTTTATGTTCAAAAAGCAAAAAATCACCACAAAAACGAAATTTCTTATAGGCGTGATTGTCACTAAGCGGGCAGCTCTAGTAAACTGAGGCAGGTTGGCCCGCGTGACCGGGAACCACGCGCTCAGTCCAAACGTGTACTAACAAATATTGTTAGTCGATGACACTATCGTAAGTCGAGTCGCATTTTCGTTGAAATTTACATTGTAACTCGAAATTATCGTAAGTTGGAGCAATCGTAAGTCGAGGTGCCACTGTACTTTGTCAGTTATTATACTATATACACAGGTTATATATAAGTACCTCGGTTTAAGAGTTTAATCCGTTCCTGGAGACAGCTCGTAATCTGAAAACTCATAAACCGAAGCTAATTTCCCCATAAGAAATAATCGGAAATGAATTAATCCGTTCCTGACTACCCAAAAACCTCATTTCAAACTAAATTTTATACCTAATTCATCTAAATCTACACTACAAAAGTATGTTCACGTTATTACTTACCCTTGCTGATAACTGCTGTTGGCGTATGAAAGATGGTGAGGAGGGGGGGAGGAGGAGAGGTGTTACTGTTTGGAAGGGGAGTCCCCTTCCATCATAACTTCAGGCAGTGAGGGGTGCACTCTCTGGCACATTTGCCTGCATACCATATATTTGCCTGAATGTAAAACAGAACCAGGTCTATTCTATAAATTCATAAACAACAAATTGCAGGTAAAGGATAATATTCAGAGGTTGAAAATGGGAAATAGATTCACGGAAAATGAAAAGGAAATGTGTGAAACATTAAACGAAAAGTTCCAAAGTGTGTTGTACAAAATGAAATCTTCAGGGAACCAGATGCAATAAAATTCTAGAGAACAACATAGAGCACATAGAGATGTCTAGAGATGAAGTGGAAAAAATGCTCAAGGAGCTAAATAAGAACAAAGCAGTTGGTCCAGATGGAGTTTCACCATGGGTTCTGAGAGAATGTGCACCTGAGCTCAGCATTCCACTTCAACAGATTTTTCAGTCATCCCTGTTTACAGGAGTTGTAGCTGATGTGTGGAAAAAGGCTAACATAGTTCCAATCTACAAAAGTGGAAGCAGGGAAGACCCCCTTAATTATAGACCAGTATCATTGACAAGTGTAATAGTCAAAATATTGGAAAAAATAATTAAAACTAAATGGGTAGAACACCTGGAGAGAAATGATATAATATCAGACAGACAGTATGGTTTTCGATCTGGAAGATCCTTTGTATTGAATTTACTCAGTTTCTATGATCAAGCAACAGAGATATTACAGGAAAGAGATGGTTGGGTTGACTGCATCTATCTGGACCTAAAAAAGGCTTTCGACAGAGTTCCACATAAGAGGTTCTTCTGGAAATTGGAAAATATTGGAGGGGTAACAGGTAAGCTTCTAACATGGATGAAAAATTTTCTGACATAGAAAAATGAGGGCAGTGATCAGAGGCAATGTATCGGACTGGAGAAATGTCAGAAGTGGAGTACCACAAGGTTCAGTTCTTGCACCAGTGATGTTTATTGTCTACATAAATGATCTACCAGTTGGTATACAGAATTATATGAACATGTTTGCTGATGATGCTAAGATAATAGGAAGGATAAGAAACTTAGATGATTGTCATGCCCTTCAAGATGACCTGGACAAAATAAGTATATGGAGCACCACTTGGCAAATGGAATTTAATGTTAATAAATGCCATGTTATGGAATGTGGAATAGGAGAACATAGACCCCACACAACCTATATGGGAAATCTTTAAAGAATTCTGAAAGAGATCTAGGGTTCTAGATAGAAAACTATCACCTGAGGACCACATAAAGAATATTGTGCGAGGAGCCTATGCCACGCTTTCTAACTTCAGAATTGCTTTTAAATACATGGATGGCGATATACTAAAGAAATTGTTCACAACTTTTGTTAGGCCAAAGCTAGAATATGCAGTGGTTGTGTGGTGCCCATATCTTAAGAAGCACATAAACAAACTGGAAAAGGTGCAGACATGCTACTAAGTGGCTCCCAGAACTGAAGGGCAAGAGCTGTTGTGAAACTAGTGCCACTCTGAATGTCTGTATTGGGGGTCTCTTGCCTGATTTCATGAAATACATGTTGAAACAGTTGAACACTGCAACGTCAATGAGATGGAAAAAAGAATTTCTTTGTCCACTTCACAGATTTACGCACGCACTCAATGGCACCGAGCATCATGTCACGTTTATCTACTAGGCACATGTTGACATTGTAATCTATGACTCAATCAGGTTTATATATTGGGAAGCGTGTTTGAAAGTGCACTTTGTTGTCAACATATTCACCTCGCATCTGTCCCTCCACTGCACTGATAACATCTTGTCACACTTTCGCAGCTGGCAATCACCCACTGCAATACCTATGCCAAACCCTGGCATTTCCCTCCTGTGGGCCTCACAGTGCCACATACACAGGTGTTATGGTCAAGGAGGTATCTGATCAATAAGGGGCTGGTATAGTAGTTGTCCATGAACAGTATATGCCCCCTGTTCAGCAACGGTTCCATGAGGGTTTTTACGACACTGCCGAAGAACCCGTGTGGATCCTGACCTGGTATGTCAACGTCTGTACCTGAATACAATATCATGTTTATGACAATACCAGTTTCGCAGTTGCACAGTGTGAAAAACTACCACGAGCAACAGAAACACGGCTCCGTCGTCTTGTGCTAGAGTTACCTATAGGTATGCTAGGAGGTGAGGTTGTTCTGCATAGTGTAGGTCTACCACGAACACCTGATGTCGAGGAAACACTGTTGTCATTGTCCTCTTGCCATGTGACATGCTGCCGCTTGCCTCAGCGTGTTACTAGGGCAGCAAACCCCGCCTAGTAACACCCTCGCTGCTCGTACTCAGGTCATCAACACTACTTGTATTGGAGCCTGTCACTGAAGCCTGAGAATGAATCATCACATGTTCTGTCACTGAATAAACTTGCATCAGAGGACACACATGGTGGTGGTGACCTTAGCAGTGTTGACCCAGGGCGGCGAGGCACGTGTACTGTACACACTCGCGACCTCCTCCATTTCAGTCTCTCCCTCACTCGTGTCAGACCTCTGAGTAAGGTATCCACACCTTACAGACTACAATCTAGACTTTCTCTGGATCGTAGTCTAAATCATCATCCATGGCATCATCATCATACAGTATGTCGCGTATTTCCTCCTCAGAGAGTCGTTTTCCATGACCGCGGCTGACCGTGGAGCGGGAGCTTGTAAGACGATGCTTCAGACATGGTTGCTTCCTTGAAACTGAGGCTCCCCATGGCCCTGGAGCATGCTAGGACTTTTTTTCAAAATGGTGGACGATCACTGGGGCCCTCAGGCATCCATTTTGTAATCGTGTCATCGCACGACAGTTTTGAATTTTACTCCATACCTATAAGATCCTTGAGGCACAATGCTCACCACCCGTTGAGCGCCTACAGGCGCATTGCGTAGTACAGTGGTTAATGTTCCTGGCCCTACTCGGGCATGTGTAGTCTTGAGTTGCAGGTTGCAGCCAGTTGTCTCAACTTCAAGTTGAGGAGAGAGTGATGATCGTCTCCCGGGTAAGTCCTTCTTTTCTTATGTTTGGTTAGGTAGCTCTGGGGAGCTGGAAGGGTTCTCCACAGAAAACCAGCATTGGATATAATGAAACGCCATTTTCTGGGTGAGTCCCGGAGACTCCCCGACATCCCTCCCTCCCTCCGCTCAGCTGTTTTCTTCGTTTTTGGTTTAGGAAGTTCTGCTTCCTAATTTGGCTTTCGGTCACAATTTTTAACCTGCTGTAGTTTGTTTTGGGACACCTACTTTTCTGGGTGCCTAACCCGGTAGATGACAAATGTAGAATGCTTCCAACCACATGGGGTTTCTATAGGCCATTGCTCCTCATGCCTGAGGGGGCCAGGTTCTGGCTCGTGGTCCCCGGTAGGCTAAGAACTCCCATCAAATTAGGAGAGGTCCCAAGATGCTGCTCTATAGACCCACTGTAAATGGTAATGGAGAGGTTATGCTATTGATGGTTACATATTGGTGTCTATCATTGAGGTAAGTACTGTACTATACACAGTGCACTGTCACGATCACTTGCCCCTCTCCTTATCTTTAGCCTTCAATCTTTGTGCTGGTCTGTGTTTCTTAACTTCTTTAGTTTGTCTCTTAGTACTCCATCATTTGTTACTGTTCTACTGTGAGGTCTTGAGAGATGTAAACTTTGTTATACCCTCCCAGATCTTTTCGTTCATGTTCATTTTTAAGTATCCTTCTCCAATGTCTTCCTTTACTTTGAGGTTAATAATTCTTGTTTTATTTTATTAAGGGCTTCTCTTTTACAAAAATTTGCAATATTTCAAGTTAGCATTTCCATATCCAATAATTTTTGTATATCTTACAAATATTGATATGATCTTAAGGGTTAAAATGAGATAATATTTTTTCAGACATTGTCAGTGGAATTCATCCATGGAGGAGAGGGAAAGGATGCCATACGCAAATATGTGGAAAGTCAAGGCTATAACTTATACACAGAGGTGACGCACCCAGGTTGGCTTGCTAATGACTTCATTTTTGTTAAGAACGGGATAGTACCATCTTTAAAAGAAAAAATTATAGAGTGAAATTAATTTCTATAGACTACAGTGCCAGAATAAGTGTGTATATAAGTTGTCTATATATATTGAGATTTTTGTGTAAATGATGTAGGCCGATCTGTATATGAAATTACAGTGATGCCACTATATGGCTGCTCTATTAACCTGACTTTTCCTAGAGTTGTGATATTCAGTTGTAAATCACTGCAAACAATGTTATTTTATTTTCTACTATTAGTGATTATTAATTTCAAAAGAATTTGCATGTAAATCTTTATAGTGGAGTCAGAGGATCAGTAACTTATTTATTAAAGTATAATATTTTGCCATCATTAATTATCACATTTAGTAAATTTGTCACATACAAAAATTATATACAGGCTGCACTGTATGTCAATTCACATAAAAATCAAAGGAATGATCATATCAAGAGTTTGATATATAGTACATGCAAGATATTTATTAATTTTATTTTGTTGTAGGTAGAACCCAAATAGTTAGCACCAGTGACATCAAACCCATTAGAGCCCTAATTTATGTGTTCTAGGTTTTATAGCTGTCTATAAAGTGGGACACTGACATGCAAATGGTTTAGAACAATGTAAAACGTGCATGCTGCAGTAACTCCGAAGCACCACACATATACCAACAGGCTTAACTTTAATATCAAACATAATGTCAAGTACAGTATTTGATGCTTCTAAGGTGATATTTAAACATTTTATCTGCCAAATTTTACATTGCAAAGACAGTATTTGCAACTATGGCTATATGAATTTACTAAATTGTTGAGATTTTTATTGAAGTGTTATTAATGGTTGAATTGGACATAATAAGCCTTCTGCATTAGACTGAGCAAAAGTATAAAATTCCTGTTTTGGAAAAAAAATGAGGATATTAATTTAGAAATAATTTCTTTTTTCTATTTATATTTTGTTCTATTTGCATTTTTCTATTTATATTTTGTTCATTTCATCAAACTCATTTATTTATTTAGTACTACCATTACATCAGTATTATTCACTTTGTTTCACTATTATTTTATACTGTATTTTAAATTTGCACATTACAGTAGTTTCTGTTTGGAATAATGAACATTGTTATATTTTGTATAATTTACTGCATAAACTCTATATGGATTATATACAATTTTACAATATATATACATCGTTCAAAGAACAGCTCTGATGTTTTTCAGTACAATATCAAGGTCAAGTGTCTTGATCAAGATCAAGTGTGTGTTGATCAAGGGCAAGTGTGTTGATCTAGATGTGTGTTGATCGAGGTCAAGTGTGTTCATCAAAGACAAGTCTGAAGAAATGTTAGAGTAAAATCAACCTCTGAAACATTTCCTCACATTAACTAATTAAAAACAGAACCATATCCTGTTCTCAGTCCTACATTGTGTCTTATTGAGCTTGACACCGTTGCTCTTTGTTTGTGTTACAACTGACTTTCTGAAAAAATATCCGGATCAACATCCTATAGTATTTTAAAGTATTATTCAGTATTTTAAAAGTTTAAATGAGATCCACCCTGTCATGCCTGGTTGGCAGTGTAGTTAGCCTTATGGCCTTCAAGCATTCCTAATATGTGAGATGACTTCACCCTGGAATGACTTGTTGCCCAGTGTTGTACCTTCTCCAGAACTGCTATGTCCTTCTGAAAATGAGGTCTCCATGCTTGGATACAGTAATCTAAGTGAGGGCACACAAGAGATATATACAGTTGAACCATTACCTTCTTTTCCTTATAGTCAAAAATACACTTGATTATCCCAAGAGTTTAGTTAGTTTTTCTGACTGCTGCACCCATCTGTTGTGCAACTTTTAATGAGTGGTGGATCATGACTCCACGGTCCCTTTCTTCATCAATCTGCTGTAATGTAATGCTATTAATTTGGTAGTCGTGGCATGGGTTGTTTTGTCCCAAATGCAGGGTCTTGCATTTGTCAATATTAAAAGAGCATTTGTCATTCTTGTAGTTCATTTAGATATCTTTGTAAGATCTGAATATTAAAGAGCATTTGTCATTCTTGTAGGTCATTTAGATATGTTTGTAAGATCTGAATATAATTTTGACTTCTTACTTTACCATAGATATCTGCAGTGTTATCTGCAAATTTGATGCTTTGATTAGTAATATTCTCATCTGTGTCATTGATGTATATGACAAAATAGGTTGTCTCCAAGATAGAACCTTGCCCTACCCCATTAGCTACATTTTTCCAGTCAGATTTGCTTCTATTTAGGACAACTCTTTTTTTTCTTTATTTTAACCATTGTTTTATCCATTTTAATATTTTATCATTTATTCAACATGCTTGTAATTTCCTTGTCAGTCTTTCATGTGGTACATTATCTAAAGCTTTAGAGAAGTCCATGTATACTACGGCTACTGGAAGTCCTTTGTCAGAATTTTTTGTCCTTTGTCATTTAGGTTACCGTCTCCAAAAATGTGAGAAGGTGAATAAGGCAGGACAAAACTATGTTGTGTTGGATTTTACTAAATTGTGTTCTCTGAGGTGGTCAATGGTTCCCTCCCTTAGGATTCTCTCCAGTTTCCATGAACCAGCAGACATGTGAGGTCAGGCTGACTGGTCAATAGTTTTCTGCCAAGACCTTTCTACCTTTTTTGAAGAAAAGGGGAACATATTTCCATTCTAGGAAAACTGCCCGTTAGTCCAGAGATTTTCTGAAGAAGAGTTTTAGTGGTGGAAATAGTTTATCTGCCAGTTCCTTTATAATGTTGGATTGAAATTCCTCCAAACCTGGGGCTTTTGAATCCTTTAATTGGTTAATGCTCTCTCTGATTGTTTTGTATATTATGGGAATATCCCTTAATTCACTCTTCTCCTGCTTCAAAAATTTGTTTGGGTAAGGAAATGTTATCTACTCTAGTAAGAACACTGACATACAGTATTCATTCAGAGTGTTTGCTGCCATTTTGTCATAAATTATAACTTGGTTACAATACATGCCTTATCAGCTGACAGATACACCACCCTAGTCAAACTCCACACCTGATCATGTTCTTTCATGATTCATTTTAGCTGATCTGGTTTTCCGAGTAGTTGAATTTACTGCTGAATAATACGGCATTATTAAGGTCTATCTGTTTTTATGTATGTGTTCCCTCTCTATTGCTTTCTATGTCTGTCAGTATCTCTCTCTATCTGACTCTGTCTGTCTATTTTTAATTATCAATTTCTATCATATCTATTCTATAGAGAATTCATTTGCAAACATTTTGACACCAAATTTATAGTTAAAGCCCAAAATATGACTGAGAAAACGTAAAATGATTGTAAACATTTTAAGCAATCTCAGAGTTGACCCGGAGGCCCAGACTGCCAAAGCAATAAAACTCCACATTAATCACATGCCATGTTTCACACTTAATTAACTCTATGAAAAACTGCATGAAAATAAATTATCGATTTCTCAGTTACGTCCAAACTGTGATGAATGCAGGACAGTCATCACTTCCAAACTCAATTCACACACTACAAATGTATAAACAATTAACAAAACCAGTCTACTCATGGATATCAACAAACACATGCTAAATAAAGAAAAGACATTGAGTTTTGTCTGGAAAAAATTCTAACTAAATAGAATTGAAAATTAACGAAGTAAAGGTGAAGATTAAAGAAACAATGGATACAAACTGGAGAAGTTCATATTCAGGAAAGACCTGGGAAGATACTGATTTGGAAAGAGGATTGTTAATTTATGGAACAAATTAATGAGTAATCTAACAGACCTGGGACTGCTGGATTGTTTCATGTGTAGACTGGACATTTATATGAATGAGCTTCATTTATATAAATAGGTGCTGCTCTGTATGGGCCAGAGGGCATTCTGCAGATTCCGTTTTCTTATGTTCTTATATACATTTTCCATACTTTCTTTAGTGCTCTTTTTACTTACAAAACCCTATACTGTGACACTAACCCAGATTTAACACTCTTTGTAACAGGATGTAACAAAATTCATGAATATCGGGCATGAAATAAGTACTTTTGTTTCTCTGGCATTCTCCATGTGACTCAATCTATAGAAACATGGCATGTAAAACAAATTTAAGTATTAATCCAAACTTTGAAGGGTCCAATCTAACTCACACTAGGAGAAGCAGCTGATTGTGAGAGTTACAATGTGACTCAACAAGCCACAATGTAGGACAGGAAAGATAACTTGTTTTTTCCACCAATAATGTAATGAATTTGCTGAAGCCATAAAATTAATTAATTAAACAAAAAATCTTTAGAAATAACTGGGGTCATTTAACGCGCCATCAGCTTCAAATTTCCATTGAGAATCCACTAGAGATGAAGACTCGGGTAAATTCAGGTAAAATAGATGTCCTAAAATAACTCTTCCCAATTAAATTGTTCTACATTCCTCTACAATCTACAGCATTAAACTACATTTACCCTGTGTCTGCATATTACCACACAATCTTGTACTTCTAACGGACCCATTACTCATAAATCCATCACCCCTTTAAATTTTCATCAACACCATCTTTTCCTAATTAATATTTTATTAACAAATTCAAACATATTTGTCACTAATATGTTAACTATAATATATCCACTAGTTTTAAGAACTTTTTAAGATAAAGAAAAACTAAAGAACTGTAAAGAAAATTCTCAATGTGCTCCTCAACTATTTTGTTAACTTTCATACATGCTCTGAACGCTATTTGTATCAGTGGCTTGGCGAGAATGTACCTGACTTAATATGTTTTTACTTAGAGAATAAATTGCAGCTACCCAGTGTTCTAATATATTAAATATGAGCCACTGTGAGTGTAGGACCAGTCTCTGGTGTGTGTGGCGGCGTACTGCACACTACGCTAGCCCTCGAACATGCTTGTGATCAGGTGTACGAGGTTTAGCTGGTACACATAATCACAAGCACGTTAGAGGGTTAGTAATTACACACATCTTTTTTTTTTATTATTATTTTCTACCACAGACATGACCACACATTTACAATGCTAACCAGCATATATACATTTTCTTCTGTCCTCCATGGACAGGGTTAGAGATTTGTTAAACATATAATTCAGGGATTTATTGAACAATCAACCATAGAAAGTGAGTGTAGTGCTTTTAAAATGCTAAGTTAACTACATACGTAAATACATAGATACACAGATTTACATATGCCTTACATAAAGTGTTCGATGTGTCGTTTACAAAGTGTCATTAATGTGCATTCACATAGGTGAAATGTAATTCTGATCAGCTTCCACATATACTTTATACATATACATACACACACATATACATACATATACATATATACATACATATATATACACACACACATACATACACATACATTTGTCTCTTTTACTCTGATAGGGTGAGATAGCTGAAAGAGAAACTAGTGTGCAATTAAGCACTTAACCACTGAAGGTGATTAAGATGCTTTTACAAGCTCAGGTTATATAGTTACATCACATACATACATTCATTGTATAATTGATACATTACATGGTCAATCTAGGGTACAAGTCCAATATATCAAGTGTTCCAGTACTCAATTAGTAGTTACAGAGTTCAGCATACATCAGCCCAGGAGGGCAAAAGTCAGTCAATATGGGACATTCTACAATATAATGTTCAAGTGAGTGCATGTTTTCTCTTTCACAAAGTTGACACATTGTGTACTTGACATTTGGGGTATGAGGTTTAATAACACATCTGTGTATTTAAATAGGTAATTACACCTACATGATAACAGCATGCAGGAGGGCCAGCTTAGTGTGCAGTAAGTTTTTATGTAATTGTTCATGTGTGTTCATCTGATCATGTGTGTGTGTGTGTGTGTGTGTGTGTGTGTGTGTGTTAAGTGTGCTCATTTAATCATGTGTTTGTGTTCATGTGTACATGTTCTTCGTTACAGCTCTGTTAGTGGCCATAAAATTTGTATTGGGTACAGGCTGTACAGATGTGTTTATATGACTGAGTGTTGCAGAGACCAGAAGATGAGCTCTTTACTCCTTTATTTTCCTATATTGGCTCTTTGTTCATTAACAGCATGTGTTACTGCCATGTAAAATACAGGACAGGGTTTAAATTGGCGTATAACATCATGTTACATATTGTATTTCATATAAAATATATATAAATATTTTTGTTTGTATCATCACCAATTACTGTAGCTTTTCAAACTTTAACAACAGTTTTAAGGATATTTTTGTAGGTAATTATTCAATATTTTATATTCATTCTCTGAAGAATGTTGCAAATTTAATTTCTATAATTTTTATATTGAGTGGACATGAGCATTTGCCCGAAATGCTGTGCATATTAGTGGCTTTAGGCATTATATGTACTAGCTCTATCTAGAAATCCAACATTATGTTTGTAACTCATTTTGAATGTACAGTATGTACTTTTACCAGAATAAACATTAAATTGAATTGAATATATTTCAACAGTACTGTATTGTTAAAATATCCCTAAAATACAGGTATCAACATTCATATCTTTGTTTGTTAGCCATAAAAATTATTTCTAATTTTGCTTCGTACCAGCAGCCCTCAGTATGTGTAGGTGTGCAGCCCTCAGTATGTGTAGGTGTGCAGCCCTCAGTATGTGTAGGCATGCAGCCCTCAGTATGTGTAGGTGTGCAGCCCTCAGTATTTGTAGGTGTGCAGCCCTCAGTATGTGTAGGTGTGCAGCCCTCAGTATGTGTAGGTGTGCAGCCCTCAGTATGTGTAGGTGTGCAGCCCTCAGTACTGTATGTGTAGGTGTGCAGCCCTCAGTATGTGTAGGTGTGCAGCCCTCAGTATGTGTAGGTGTGGAGAAAGGTTCCGTTTTGAAAATCCTGGGATAAAAACCATGGAAATGAAACCGAGGTGTAGGTTATACTTGTAATATTATACCTGTAATATGGTAATGACCCCGAGACCTCCAAATTTTACTTTCTTCGCTCTACTCAACAACATTACATA